TCTTGTCCTATAAAGTCAGGGTCTTCTTTTAGCTGTGACAGAGACCACACAAACTCACTGCCTTTCTCTCCCCCCACCAGACCCTTGCTGCCTCTGCCTTAGAGAGACGTGATTCGTTTCTTTGCTGCGGCTCTTTATGCTGGTCTCTTGCTTTGGTTAATTCCCTAGACCGGAGTGATCCCACACTTTCAGCAGAGTCCTCACCCGATTATCCTGAAATAGGCAGTGGAGTCAGTTTTCTCATTTGCCGCTGAGCATTTTTGTGGCGACGGTTATTCAAGACCGTATATTCCCTTTCTGTGCTGTCCGTCTTAGCTGTGGACACTAAAGTGTTGAAGATTTGTTGGAAGGAAAAATTGGGCTGGGGATGTAGCTCAGTGGCACAGAGCCCGCCTGGCAGACGTGAGGTCATGAGTTCGATTCCTAGTACAAAAAAACGTGGGCAAGCCTTTTCTTCTATTTCCTTCCATCTGCTGCGCTGTCATCAAATTATGGAGAAAAGTATTTGCTTTTCAAAATTGGGACCGTTTGTCTCTAAACTTTCTCTGGATTGGGGAGTTTGTGGAAGAGCAATTCTGAGTCGGTTTCTGAAATTTCTTTGCTGCTTGTTGTGGCCGGGTTCAGATTTTTCTCCGTCTTCCCCGGGTCAGTTTTGACAGCTTTTCTCCCGAGATAATTGCACGTTTCGTGAAGTTGTGGACTTAATGAGCATGCCTACCAGTTCTCTTCTCTCTCGGTCTGTGTTTGCGACGTGCTGTTGATTTCAGATGAGACCTGTAATGAAATGAGTTGCCCTCTGATTTCTTGCTGGAGCTCAATTAGCTACTTTTCTTCCCAATTTACTCCCATTTCAACCCATATTTTCTGAATTCTTGAGCAAAAAACCTTTCAAAATACTTTACCCACTCCCAAACATCAACTCCTTTTACCAGCAAAACATGAACACTCTCCCGCCTGCCTTGCGCTAAACCCACCTCCCTCCCGGAATCCTTACAATGGCTTCAACTTTTCAGCCTGCCGTTGGTTGACTTTTTTCTTCTCTGTCTTTAATATTCAAACATCAAGGTGGGGGCTTCAGCCCCATACGTCATGTTCCAAGCGTTTGACCATCAGCCACAAATCTGGATTGAAAAGAACCACAGAGCATCGACCGGGGTACCACACCTTTAAAAATTAGACACAGAATTATGCAAATTTTAAATTACATAGTAGAAGAATATTCACTGGCGTGGGAATGAACTGAGAAGCTTTAAAGTTAGAAGCGTTTAAGACAGCAGGAAAGTGGGATTCTGTCTTTATAATAATTGTGTGAGTGTGTGTGTGTGCGTGTGTGATTTATCTGTGTGAGTGTGTCGCATATCAAGGACAGGCAGCTGGTCCCTGGTGGAACCCATGTAACCTGCAGGTCTTTGTGTACCTTTATATCCTAGAGAGCCTTGCCTTATATCCTTCTGCAACATCGATTCTCTGCCTCATCATCCAACTCAGGCTTGATTCCAAATTCAAGGTCACCTGCCCTGAACAGGCATTCGCTACCTGGAGAAAAAAAAAAAAAAAAAAAAAAAACAGGAGGCTTAGCCGTTTGTGAAGGGAAGGTGAGCGTGATTTGTTCTCTCTGCAAACACATCGTGACCACCCACGTGTTTATGCCCTCTGGCCGCAGCCTGAGTGGGCATTAACCTTCGCAGGGGGAACCACGTGGCTCTTTCTCTGGGAGGGATTTGCAGCTTCCTCCACCAGACCCAGTGATGACACAAGAAATAAGCACCTCTCAGCTGCCGGAGCAGTGCCCGGGGACGCCAGCCCTGCCCGCAGCCCCAACCCCTCAAGCCTGACTGCTTCCCTGAGAAAGGGCGATTTCCGTGGCAGCCTGTTTGTACAGGCTCAATGCAGACCAGCCTGGGTCTGC